GCACCAGGAGTAGATGACGTGGCCATCAGTAGTTTTCTTTATTTTCTAAGTAGTTTACTTTTTCTGTTTCATTTCCTTTCTGTTTGTTTTTGTATTTGTATTTCCCTGCCTATATACCGCAACATTAAGGACAATGTCGGATTTAGTGTGGGAGAGGTACCTTTCCATCTTCCATAAACAAGTAATTTTTTACGATATCTCTCAATTTAAAATTTTCGCTTTATTCAGCCATACTGAAAATTTTTACTTTATCTTCGCATTAGCCCGACATACCTATCTTAACGAAATCCCAGTTGAGAAAGCCGAGAACGATTCAACAAGATCGATACGGTTATGACACCATAGACTTCCTACTTACGCGGTCCGTTTCAATAACCATTATACCTATATCTTGAGTTTTAGTTCTAAAGTAACCCCTAGTAGTTTATACTAGTAGTCAGCACCATCTTGACACAAACCACGTGGAGAATCGATGAATATAAGTGTTTGATGCCTGATCAATGAAATATCCTTCTTATCTCGCTGCTAAAAGAAAATAAAATTATGTGCACCAAAATACAAGGTCACATATAAGAGTTGAGTAAATAATGAAGGAATCCACTGTTGGTTGGTTCAGAGGTATCTGGTTCTGAACTTGGTAGGGCGTGCTACGGCCTGATCCCCCACAACCTCCAATTTGGATAACATATGTAGGGTTGCCACATTCGTGTACCAGACCCCGTGCTAAAAGGATCAAAGTCACTAACCGGTTACTCCACTACGTGCGTGCTAAGACAAAGGGCTTAATGTGATTGCGCCAGAACGAAACCGGGTGAAATAAATACGAGGAACTCTGGGCAGAATTATAACGGAACTCTTGGACAACTCGTTTGAAATGGAAGCCTACGACTAAGCCTATTGCTTGTGTCATTAGCGTATCGTTAGTGTTTCACTTAAGTATCGGTCGAACCGACGAGGATTTCCCGTAATTGCTTTAAAAATCAAAGGTATGCCATGCATGTGCGCTCGATAAAACTTGTCCGATATTTCTAAATTACTATTTGCTTGAGGACAAGCAAAGGTTTAAGTATGGGGGAATTTGATAACGAGAAATCGTATCATATAATTACTATATTTTTTATCGATTTTCATAATACATTAACTCGTTTAACTCCCGATTGTTCCGAGTTTTTGTGTCTTTTCACAGGTACAACATGTTTCAAATCAAATCAGTGAAAAAGGATCACATGAAGGAAGTTAACCAAGAATCAGAAGAAAAAGAACTAAATCTGTAAAATCTGCAGATTTTATTGTCATGACGACCGTCACACCCCATGACGAGCGTAACGCGCTCACAACTTGAAGGACGCTCGTCACATATCATTGACGAATGTAACGCGCTATTTAAGCGCATTACGACCGTCACCTCCTCATGACGACCGTCACACGCTTAATGCAACGTTATGCATAACAGGAGACGTGGGCAACGTAATGGACGGTTTTCTTCTCCTACAATTCCTCAACTTCAGCAACTATCAATCCGAGTCTTACTCCACTCAAGCAATTCCTAAATTCTCTTAACTGCAAAAAATCTTCTTCTATAAATAGGAGGCATTTTAATGGAACAAGGTCGAAGATTTTTCTACAGAGCCAAACTTCTGCCTTTCTGCATTATTTTATTTTATTTGCTTTTGAACCATTTTATACCTACTGTAACTTTTAGTTTTCAAAATTAGTTCCAAGAGTGTTAGTTCTTCATCTAAGAATTAACACGGTCGTATATTTCAATTAATTGCAAGGAATTTGTACGCACTCAAGATTACCACAACAACATTATTTACAGGTTTTTATGCAATTGGTTTCTTTTTATTATTCTTATGCTATGTTATTTATCTTTATGAATTGTATTTTAAGTTGCATGGTTACTAAATATATTATGTCTGGCTAAATTCGTTTGTACCAGTATGTGACTCCTAAGCACCGAAGGAATTCGGTGATAACTTGGCTAAAAACTTTTATAAATAATTTATGGTTTCCAATTTCCATGTTTAATTTAACTACCCTTGTCACGAGAGTGAGAGGATAATTAACACGATTTTGCCACGAGAGTGGGAAATTAACTAAGGCAAGAAGCTGCATGCGAGAGTTGGGGTTCGACCCAGATAGTGGTAACGAAACATTAATTTTTAAATACATGAGAGTGTTTTAACAAATTAATTAAACTCAAGTTGTTTTCAAAAAGTGTTATTAAATTTAAAGTGCATCCACTAGGTTTAGTAGCATGACTTATTTCATGAACACGAGAGTGTATGTCTCTGGTTTTTAAACAATCCGTTTTTACCGAAATACTTTATATGCCAAGCGATTCATCGAATTCCCGAAGTCCGACTATCACATACCGGTATAGCTATTACTACTGTTTTTAATTAAACTATCCCCCCCATAAAACCAAATATTCATCGCTTCGTTAAACAACTGTAACATTAGATCGTATGCGATTGATCCTCAGTCTCTGTGGGTTCGATAATCATTTAAAACTAGAACGACTAAACTGTATACTTGCAGTTAGTATCCCAATAGACTCATAAAGTCCCGATCAGTGTCCCACATCGAATTTTTTAAATCAAATACAAGAGTTTATATATATCTTTTACTCAATTATTATTAAAACTTTATTATTGGGCTATGTGACGAGTTAATGGGCTTAAAGCCCCAACCTTACATTTTAACATATTCATTTATCAATAAATTTATTAAAAAAAAGTTAAAAAATCTAATATATAAAAATTAAAATGTTTTATAAGCGGAGAATCTAAAAAAAATCTAATAGGGAGTAAATCAAAACCCGCTCTAATGATAGGGGGTAACATATATTTAACATTTATCTTAATTTTATACAATTTGTGCATATCGGAGTTTTTAATAACGAGGTTCGTTTAGAGCACTCTATATAAGTCGTCGTAGTCTAACAAAAGGGAACAACTTACTTGTATCAAAATGTCCAGAAAGTGGTGTCATATTGCAAGGTGTCAACGGCGATACAAGTGTATGTGAATAAAAAAAATTCTACTTGAGGGGGAGCATTGTGGACTCACACGTGAAGGGAAGTGTTAGAATAATAATGCAAGTGTGAGCAAGCGGTAAAATAGTCCCACATTGGATAAGAATGTGGTGACTGGATTATTTATAAGTGAGAGAACCCACTCACTTATTACCTTAAAGTTTTAGGTGGACAAATGGTGTGTCTATCACAAAGGTGTCTAGTCCTACACTATATTTCAATGTTGCCTAGTGAAAAACTCCCCCAACACCCGATACCCTCATATAACTCTAAAAGTTTCCTTAAACCTTTATTTTTCTAAGGTTTCCCTTAAGAAGACCCTAAACCATTGTTTTCTCTTTTTTATTGTAATAAATACATATTTATAATAGCAAATACCCACAAACAAAGCTCAAAAACACAATTAATTCATAAATGGATCCATGGATCGAACCGAAAGAGGCAGAAACACGTAAATCGAGGAACTACTGATTTTTTTCTTCGAAAATCCCAAAATCGGTCGAACCGACTCTGACCAACCGTACAGACCCACCGCAGGCCGTACGGATCTGCTGCCGACCACCCGCCATAAGCCATATAGGCCGCCGACCCGCCTCCATACGGACAGGTCGGCGCTGCCGCACTCTGACTTTGGAAACCCGCCATCCGCCGATTTCGGCTAACCACCACTGGTCGGCGACTGCTATCTGCCGCCAGATTCCTGCCGTCACTGCCCTCTGCGGTCTGGCGGCGGCTCTGCCTCCAGCTAACCCGATTTTTCTTCGATTTCAGATTTTCGACTTTTTAACCAACTTTCTGGAACTTATAATTTTTGCAGTATATGTAATCTCAAAAATATGTTTTCTTTCTCTTTATCAACAAAGGTTTTAAGCATACTTCAACACTTGAAATTGTGAAAGAAATAAAATTAATCTTATCACAAGAAACAACATCGGTGAAATCAAGGTTGAAAGAATGGATCTTGACTCCAAAGAAACTCTCCATGGTCAAAGGTTTACAAATATTTATGGATTTATGGTAGTTTTATGATAAAAGTGATGATAAATACTAGTGTTTTAGGGTAACAAAAATTCTAGATGAGTTTGAGAGAATAATTTATTTGACCTTTAAAAGGGTCTCATGTGACCCGTATTTGATAAAGAATAATGGTGGTTTCAATGACATTTTATGGAATGTGAAAGAGAGTTTGATGAGGAATTTTGTATAGATTTTGAAATTGAAGAAATGCAAATGTTTATGTGCTAAATAATACAATAAATTCTATTTTTCTTTGTTGCTTATTGTACATGAAGTCACTTTACATAGGATACATGAAGTCACTTTACACAAGATTTTTAGACACGAAATTTACATGCGCTTGAGTCAAAACACAAAATTTTCATGTATCCAAATGAGAATATGAAAACTACTAGTACATACGAGCTTGATTAACACACATGATTTAGCCATGGAACTAATATTCTCAAATATTAAGGTACTTTAAAACTTATGGTTTACACATCCTTATCTAAGATTTTAAGAATTCACAAATAAATTTTGAGATATTACATGATTTAGTTGCTTCATAAAGAAACTAATCCAACAAACTATAGCGGGATGTATATCTCTTGTCAGGTAATGTTTTAAACAAAATCATGATCTCCAAACACCAATTTAACAACATATGATTTGAAATTAATCAAGGGATCTTCCTTATCAGAGATGATATAATAAATAGAAACATAATTTAAAAACAAGAAATCATACTTACTAGATGAAATCATGAACCCATCCAAACATGCTTTTTTGATCAGACCGTATATGTCCTTTTGGTCATGTCCATACAACTTTATATCAAACTATACAATGTTAATATGAAAATCATTTCCCACCCACACCCCTAGGGTTGTGGTTTCTTTAATTTCCTTATCTATCTGGTTTCTTCTCTTTTTTCTGGATACTCTCCCGTTTGTCATCAACGATGTTCTTTTATCCCTTTCCCGTGAAGGCTTTCTTTCTCGCTTGTTCCGGTGGTGCCTCCTGTCATCGATTTTATGTGGGACTTTTCGGTGGGAGGATTATCATGGAGAAATGGAGACATATCTTGCTATCAAAGGAAGAGGAGAAAGGGATAACAAAGACAAAGGATGAAATTAATGAAGAAGAAGTGTTTTAGCGCACCTTAGCTGGAAAGTTGTGGACGGAAAATCCTTTTAATGCAAGAGATTTTATGAGTACTATAGTTGGAGCTTGGAGGTTGAAGAATGATGTTGAAACCCAAGAACTTAGTAAGAATATTTTTCTATTTAGATTCTCAACTAAGAGGGATCTAGAAGCGGTATTGAAGAACGACTTTGGAGTTTTGACAGAAATATGGTAGTGCTTAAGAAGGTCTCAGGGGAAGAACAACCCTCTAGTTTGGATATGCTCTTCGGCGCTTTTTGGGTGAAAGTCTATGATCTGCCTTTGGATCTCCTATCTGAAGCTATGGTAAGGAAAATTGGCAATATTTCTGGGCTCATTCAAGGAGATGGATTCTAAGGAGGTGAACAAATGTGGTAGGTTTCTGCGTCTTAAGGCTTTGGTGGATATAAATCAACCTTTGAAAAGAGGGATTGTGGTGTGAATCAAGGGAAAACGCTATAAGGTATTCTTCAAATATGATATACTTCCCACTTTCTATTTCATATGTGGAAGGCTAGGGCATCAACTTAAGGATTATGAAGCCCTTGGAGACCTAAGTGAAGAGGGTTTTGAGGAGATCGAAGAGCAGAACCTGTCATTTAGCCTTTGGTTGAGAACCTCACATCTTTCGAAGAATTATGAAGAACAACAATCTAAGGACTCGAGCTCCAGTACATGTAGTAGAAGTCTGTTTAATGCCTCTTCTAGCCAAAGTAGGTGTGGAGGGAAGGAAAAGGGAGACAGAGTGAATAATGAAGTTGTTCGAGAGAAGGGAGGAGGGTCGAAGGAGAGGAATCTACGACATGGGGATATTCTATCTAGAATGAGTGAATTGGAAGTTGAAAATGTGGCAGAATCATTAGGTGTTGTGGTCCTTGATCCAAAGTAGGGGGGAACAATTATAATGGAAAAAGAAAACTGAAAGTGAAGAATTGGAGTAGGCAGGGTGGAGGTAAGAAGTTCGTGAAGGAGAGTATTTAGAAATTATATATGGAAAAGGGGAAAAGACAATTGGTGGATGTCATGATCTTGAATGCTACAATGGAAGAGATTGGGATATGGGGAAGAAAAGGAGGCAGAAATCAAAGGAACTAGGTGAAAGAGAGCATGTACCAGAGGTGGTGTTAGATGTCCAACACCGCCTACAATAATGAAACTATTAAGTAGGAAGTGCAGAGGGTTTGAGAGCCCTCATGCAGTTCGAGCCTTGAAGATGCTCATTCGGATTGAAAACCTCAACCTGATCTTTTTGATGAAACCAGTCTGAAAGAGCAGGAAATGGTGTCCGTGAAATATAAGTGTGGCTTTGAGCATAGTTTCTTTGTTGATTGCAGTGGATTGGGGAAAGATAAAGGTGAGGGGGTTGACTTACTATGGAACAAGGCGTTGAATATCACCATTATGTCCTTCTCTCTCAACCATATTAGCGGAGAAGTGCTCGATGAGGAGGATGACAACCCTTGGTCGTTCTCGGGTATTTATGGCTTCCCTGTTGAACACAACAAACGCAACACTTGGCTGTTAGTTCAAAATTTGTGTCGTGAGAGCAAACGTAAGTGGATTTTTTTGGGGATTTTAACGACATCCTATATGAAGAAAAAAATATATGAGGGCTAGTGAGATCAAACTTTCAAATCTCTTGGGGAATGCAGGCAATGGAATTTTATGGTCTGAAGGATCTTGGTTTCAATGGCTATCCCTTCACTTGGTCTAACAGTAGGCTGGAGGAGGACAATATTCAGTGTCATATTGATAGGGTATTGGCTACTACAGGAGAGAATAGATTCAACCCAATCAAAGTTTTGCATCTGCCCAGGTACGGATCAGATCATGTTGTACTCAAAATTGAACTGGAAAAACTAGCGGAGGAGGAAAGGAGACCAAACCAGATTTTGTTCAAGTTTGAGGATATTTGGGCTAGAGATAGTAGTTGTGAGAAGTTAATCGGGCATAAGTGGGTGAATATTGTAGGAGAAGGATGTTGTTGTAAGCCCTAGAGGCCAATACTTTTTCCACTTGTATCAAATTATTTATTAATAATAAAACGCATTTCTTTATTATGTTTGTTTTTCTAGAATAATAAAGTCCCTAGAATAGTTCGTGCATTTAATGAAATGTTAAGTGTGACTTAATCATGAGATTCGATTAAACATAAGGACATTATTCTTAAAGTATCCATAGTCGAGATTACGAAGTAGGATAACATTAAAGCATTGAGATTATTATGTAGATAGACTAAGGATCACATCTCATGGATAATGGATAAAGAGTTACAAGTCTTGACATATGTATGAATATTAGGAGTAATATTTATACTGGATTGACCGACTATGAGAATACTACATAGAATGTTATGCAAAGTGTCATAAGTTATTCTCATGGTGATAATGGTGTATACCACCCTTCGACCTGAAACCACTTTGAACCTTAGATGAAGAATCAAGTACTTTATTGCTGATCAAACTAATCTGTAATTGGATGATCATAAAGATAGTTGATGGGTACTTCACAAAGCATGTTGAGGGACATGAGTGACCTAGATGGAATTTTCTCATCCTGCGTAATAGGATAAATGTCTAAGGTCCCAATATTGGACTGGACAAGGATGACACAGCCTATACCTTGTGTTCAATATAGATATAAGGGAAAAAGGGTAATTGTACATACAAATATTATCATAGAAAGATTTTTCAGATCACATGACATTTTTGTGACTTTGGTAGCAGTAATGTGTTGCTAGATACCGCTCACTATTTATGTTAAATGTGTGATTTAATATAATTGCCAACGTCGTGAAAACCTACAGGGTCATACATATAAGGACAGGTTGATGAGAGATAGAGTAAATAAGGAACATCGTAAGGTACAATGCACTTAAGAGGATTGCAGAACACTGTAAGGTACGATACCCTTAAGTGGAATATAGAATATGGTAAGGTACCACACGCTTAAGTGATATACGATACATCATAAGGTATGATGCCCGTAGGCTTAATTGGACTTTTAGCTTGCACCCTTAATTGGGATTTTAGCTTGCATCCTACATAAGTGGTTCTATAAATAGAACCCTTGTGCTGAAGCATTTTCACTTGATGAAAATTCAGTCTTGAAACCCTAGCCATATTTTCTCTCACCATCTCACTCAAAGTTTTCGTTCGTAAGCAGCTAGCACTGTGACCATAAGTGATTTGTTCGTGTGGACTGAGTAGAGGTGATGTTCTTGTTTAACACTCATGATAACAATATTAAAGGTTTGAATCGCCACAAGAGGTAATACTTTATATCAATGACCACGCCCATTCTTAAGGATCACTAAAGGAAAATTTTAATTTCTGCTACATTTTGAATTGCGATTTTCCTTCAGAGGATTAAGTAAACCGAAGGCTATGATGGATCTTGGGGAGGATTTTAAGGAACTAAGGAAAAAAAGTACTTAAGCTGAAATTAGAATAATTAAAGAGATGCTTAAAGATGATTTATAATGGGATGCAATTGAGGATTACGTTAAATCCTTCAAAGCTCTAGAATCTAAAAAAAAACCTTCTTAGAGCTGAAGAAGTGATTTGGAGGAAACAAAGTCGTGTGGTGTGGTTGAAAGACTGGGATAGAAATACATAATTTTTCCATGACAAAGCTAATCAGAGGCGTAAAATGAATGCAATTAGAAAACTGAAGGGTGATAATAGGGTGTGCTGGAGGGGCTGGGAGAAGTGTGAATCAATTCTGATGTCGTACTTTGAGGAGATCTTCTCCTTATCCAATCCTACAAACATTCATGAGACGTGCGAGGTTGTTAGTAATAAACTCAGTGAGGCTCACAAAGAGGTATGTGCTGGAGAGTTCATGGCACATGAGGTTAAGACTACTCTCTTACAAATGCACCCGTTGAAATCCCCAGGTCCGGATGATCTCGCCGCTTTGTTTTTTCAAAAGTACTGGCATTTCATGGGAAGGGAGGTCTCAAATTTGGTACTGGAAATTCTAAATCAAGGTAAGAACCCAAAATATGTCAATGATAGGTTCATAGGTTTGATTCCAAAATGTAAAAACCCCAAATTCCCTAAGGAATTTTTGCCCATCAACCTGTGCAACATCATGATGAAGTTAGTAACCAAAATGATTGCTAACCGAATTAAACAAATCCTTTCAGAGATCATTGATGCGGAGAAAAGTGCTTTTGTCCATGGTATATTGATCTCTGATAATGCCTTGATAGCGATGGAATGTTTTCATTGGATGAAGAAAAAAAGGAAAGGGAAAAAAGGAGTTATGGCTTTAAAGATGGACATGTCCAAAGCATAAGATAGACTGGAGTTGAGTTTTATTGAAGGAGTGTTGTCTTTCATGGGTTTCTCTTTGTCTATAGTGAACCTGATTTTTAAGTGCATGTCCATCGTGCCCTATTAGATTCTCCTTAATGGATAACCCACTCATAAAATTATTCCAGAAAGAGATCTCCGACAAGAGGATCCCGTTGTACCCCAAAATTTGCCCTCCCATATTCTTCAAAGTTTTGACAAGCATCATCTCAATTTGCTCAAGTCTACTCAAGGGTTGCACAGTTCAAACACCCTCCTAAGCCAGTCAAATTAGGGTTTTGGTTCTTGCAAGGAAGTTGAGGTTTTCAAGGGCTCAATCAAGTCACATATGCCTATACACATTGTCAAGCATCCACATGCCAAGTTTCAAGGCTCACAGGGTCAAGTTGCACAGTCAAAAACCCTAGTTGCTCCACAGTCAACTGTAGGGGTAAAATGGTCATTTGGTAGTCAAAAGTCAAAAATTTTGGTCAACATCTTATTTTGAAGCCACAATCATCATTTTATCAAGTCTTGATCATGATTCCACAAGAATGGCTCAAAAATCATCAAGATGCAAAAGTTTCTATTTTTGGACAGCTGAAAAGTCAACTGTAACTTGACCAAGGCATAACTTTTTTATGGTTCATCAGAAAAATCCCATCCAATGCTCATTTTGAAGGGGATGACATTT